GGAAGGAAGGAAGGAAGGAAGGAAGGAAGGAAGGAAGGAAGGAAGGAAGGAAGGAAGGAAGGAAGGAAGGAAGGAAGGACTGTTAGACATAGTCACATGGTATTTTCCATATTCATTTGGTGGTATGTTCTAGATTTGGCCCCTTTGGCTTAATTTTTTGACTACAGCTCTCATTAACCCATCAGGTTATAGTTCTTGGTAAAGGTTTAATTGCCCATCACTTGCCTTCCCTGCTAAATAAGGCGCTGCCTTCTGCCTGTAGACCCCGTGTATGTTTATATATTTCTCTCTTCCTTCACATGGATTTACTGGCTGATTCTGCATTAGCAAGGGGGACAGGGCTCTTCATATGCTTTAACCATAGGATCCATCATCACTTCTGTTAATGCAGAATATGAAGCACATACTACTTGAAAGGTTTGATTTCCACTGATACTGTTAATAAAGTAAGGAGTACGTTGTGAGTTAAGTGGAGTGAGTACTAAATAATGACAAATTAAGCAAAGTTCTTCACTCGGATTTTGTTTTCTTTTTGAACCTAAGGGAAAGGGATGAAGAAAATCCAGAAAGTTGCTCATCTAAATCATCAAGACTGGAGCTGTCTTGTTCTCTTTTAGAACAAACGCAACCTGCTGCCCCATCACTGTGCAGAAGCAAGGAGCTTCTATCTCAGAATGAGACTGTGGACAAGGAAGCAGATGCCTCATTTGTGGATGATACAGACATAAAACCCAGTGGGAAAAGTTCTGCCAGTAAATCCTTTTCCATAGAAAATCTCAGACCAAAAAAAAGAAAAGAAGTTGATTTAGCTATAGAAGAAGTGTTGGAAGATTTACTCAAGAGTACAAAGCCAGAGCTGGCAGTTCACGTGAAAGTTGAAAAGCAAGAGGAAGATGTCAGCATCAGAAAAAAGCCAAGAATGGATGTAGAAAGGAATAGTTACCTTAATGGTGAAACAGTGCCAGAAAGCAGCAGAGAAGTTGTACGTAACAGTTTATTGTGTTTTATGAGGCAGCTCCTCATGTCCCTCAGGCTGGCCTCAAGTGTGGTGCAAAGCGTAGGGCGATCTTAAACGTCTGGTCCTTCTGCCTTCAGTGCTGAGTGCTGTGGTTACAGAGCAGTTTCTTCACAGCTTTGTTTCTTTTCCTTAAATTCCATCCCATATTGATCACACAATAAACACAGACCTACAAAAAAGTGGTTGTAGTTTGAGTCACAGAAGTCTTTGCTCTTTGACTTTACTTTATAGTCCTTAGTACCCACTTTTTTAGACATTCATTCAGAGTTCCTGTTACTCAGGTCATTAGAATCCAGATAGGAGAAGACAAGAATTGAGTACCATGTACCCATAGACACCATTGAAATAGTCTTTTGTGAAGCATCAGATGTCTTTCATTTAATATTTAAGGGTTCATGATGATATCAGACAATCAAATTATGTTACTGTGGTATACTGTTTTATAGTATAATTATTTTATTTATTTATTTACTGTTTTGAAATGTATGACAAACTTACATAAGCAAGGGAGCAGTGAAACCACTGGCCTGATCACCCCATACCTGGGCAAAACGTTCTTTTTGTAGATATAAGAGAGAGAGAGACTAACCAGAGGCATTTGTGGGAGTTTAGAGCAGCCATGGCTACCTCTATGGGATGGAGAGGAACCTAGTGGACAGAGATAGCTCTCTGGAGCGCAGAGTAATTGGGGAGGGGTCTCACCCATTATAAAGAACAGGTAGCTGTATGGTCAGGAGAAGGAAGCCTAAACTGGGACAGCGTGGGAGTTTAGGGTGGAGGGGGAGATGGGGAAAGTCAGGAGGCAAATATAGGGGCTCTGCTATGCTAACAGGTACAGATTATAGGAGCTGAAGGTTAACATGGGCCTTTGATGAGTAACTAGATGCCACACTTGCCCGTCTCTAGAAGGAAGAGATAAGTAAGCGGCTTCTTTTGGCAGAGGTTTTTGTCCATTTCACAGGCTCCTGAGGAAGGCAGCCTTTGAGCTTTTATCTGTCTGCCAGTAACACCATATCCAGCTTTCCATCTTGAGACATCACTAGTTTCATCAGGGGAGGGATGGTACTGGGAGTTCCCTTTGAATCTAACAGTAACATTATAAATAAAATAAATAAATAAATAAATAAATAAATAAATAAATAAATAAATAATACAAATGTAGGAGTCAAGAGAGAATACGTAACAGTTAGGATCTACTAAAAAAAATCACTATATTCTAGTATTAACTTGTTTTTAGCAAGAATCTTTTCAAAAATGTTTTTGTTTTTATTGTAAAGTATTAAGGCCATTTTACTTTTCCAGCATTCAAGAGGCAGAGGCAGGCAGATCTCTTTGAGTTTGAAATCACCCTGGTCTACATAGTAAGTTCCCAGCTACCCAGGGCTTCATAGTAAGACCCTGTCGTCAAAAGCAAAACAAAAACCAGAAAACTTTTTATTTTAAGGTAATTTGTGATTCTCTTGTATATAAAAGAAATGGTGTAGAGCGGGTCCAATGTGCCCTTCAGTTGACTCTCTTAGTTACTTAGTCAGCTTGCTACATCACAAACAGGGACACTGTGGTTAACCAGCCTTAGTATGAGATTAGTCCTCATTTGATTTTCTTAGTTACTCAGCTTGCTATATCACAGACAGGAGCACTGCACTTAACCAGCCTTGGTATGAGATTAGTCCTCATTTGATTTTCTTACACCATTTTGAGAAATTATATTTCTATATGCTTATAAAGGGTGGACCAGCAGTTTATTGATATTCTACCATCCCAGCCAGACATAGTAACAGTGTAGATCAACTGTTAATGCACTTTTCTGGCTGTGATTTTATAACTTTATGTTTTATTCACATTTTGTTGGATATTCTCTAAAACAAAATTTATATTTATTTCCTGGGTCACAGAGTGATTGTTTTTAAAATTTTAAAAAGATTATTAATAACTGCTATAACCAATGTTTTGTTTATTTTTAGCAAGAAGATAAAACAGAAAGGAAAGATGAGCTTCAGAGAGAATCACCATGGGCAACGAAAGATGAAAAAGCTGTAAGAAAAACTCTTATTTTATTCTTACAAATATTTGACTTAAAACGATTATCATCAGATAAATTTCTGCCAGTTTACATTCTTATTAAATATTTCCTCGTATAATTCTGACCCTTTTTGGGAGTTTGCCTTTTCTGGAAATAGATTATGAGACAATAAGGAGTATAAAGAACCATAGGTATAACCCCTTTCTCTATACTGCATGGATACGCAATATTGAGCAAATCATTTTCTCAAGTACTGAAAGTCCTTTGTTCATAAAACAACTGAAGCTTTTCCAGCACGGTTGTTGTTTATATCAAATTCAGTAATGGACATGTGTTATCTGTAAATTCAAAAAGAATTAGGCCAGTTTTACTTAAAATTCTGATTACAGCCCCTTATAATCAGAAGAGCCTTTTTTGTTGGCTTTTCTTTTTTGGTCTTTCTAACTGCACATATCTTACATATAAATTACATATAGTGACGTCAATTAAAAGAATTAAAAAAAAAAAGCATTACTAGTTGGGTATGGCCTGTGCCTTTAATCCTTGCTTTAGTAAGGCAGAGGCAGATGGACGTCTGTGAGTTCTAAGAACATCTGGTCTTCATAGTGAGTTTCAGGTGAGCCAGGACCACACCGTGGGACCCTTTCTCCAGAAAATTTAAAAGAAATTAGGATGAGTAGGTTGATGTGTATTAGGTTGAATTAGATTATTAGTAAAAGGAATTACAAATCCAGGCTGTGAATTTTAAGTCATTATAGTCATACTAGGCTCAAACACATCCTTATTAGTCAAAATAGGAGCAATCAGCACATTTTGCCAGTGAGAAATAAGTTTATTTCTGTACCATAAAAACCCATGTTTCAAGGTTCAAGGAACTCTTGAAAAGCATTTTCTGCATGGTAATGTTTCCCTGTAAAAAGCGGGCAAGATGCCTGAAGAAGTGGTAGTCCGTTAGCAAGAGCATCATGGCTGAGGCAAAACTTCACAGCCCAATTCTTTTCAGCTTTGAAAGTGTTGATTGTGTGATATCCAGTTAGAAGTTGTCTGGAGAATTGGGGCCTCTCTGTCAATCAGTGCTAGCTGTATGCATTGCAGCTTTGGATGCATCTCATGGGATTGCTGCTCATACTTCTCAGATGCAATGGTTTCACTAGGAGTTAAGAAGCTGCTCTGGGTCAGGCCGGCAGCAGACAGTGATCATGACCTTTTTTGGGGTGCAAGTCTGACTTTGGTGAATGATCTGTTCTGGAGCTTCTCGATCCATCCCCTGACTGACTGTCATGTACAGTACACTTTGCGCTGCATATCACAGTCTGACTGGCTTGTTGTGTAGAGTAAGAGAGGACCACAGTCAAGCTGTTGTATTATTTGTTATTAGTGTCATTATTATCATCACTCAGTTCTCAAAGCACCCACTTACAGAGCCTTATCACCTTTCCAGTTTGATGCTGAACAAGACTTGGCCCATATTGAGCTCTCCAACAACTTTTCTTGTAGTTGTGAGATCTTCAATGATTGCTCTCAGTTGGCCCTGCTTTCTGGTGGCTGGCCACCATGCTCCTCATGTGCAAGGCTCTTGCCTCTTTTGCTAAGCATCTGGAGTCATCACTGCATTGTATGTCCATCCGCAGTTTCTGGGTCAAGTGTGTTGCACGTAGTCTCTGCTGCCTCATGAGCCATTTTGAACTCAACAAACTCAGATTAGCTTTTTGTCTGACATCATTTTTATAATGCAAAATAAATATAAAATAAGCAGAGGATAGAACGTCATTAGAAAAAATCATGAAGCAGGAAACATGCATTCCAATTCTATACTCTGTAACCATATTTGTTAAGAATGTTTTTCAGTGTCAAACAGCACATTTTGACAGTGTGTAACTGCCCTTATAACCAGCGTAATGGTAGTAAATTACGTAAGCAGAGACTCTCATTGGACAGACTGTTAGATTGCATGTTCAGAATTGTCTTCTAGATGTGTTAAACATATATGTGACCTGTCCAATGGAATGTTTAACAACTGTGCTGCACAGTGTTAATGGGAAAGAAGCAGATGGTGATGAGATACGTCGGGAGAATATCTAAAGAAGGTAGCTTCCTCACGGAGGTGTGGTACACAGCCTCTAGGTGAAGAATACTCTATGATTGTAGCCTTCTCTTCTAAGCGGACATGCTATAGATGTTTTCAGTGCCGTAGAGCTCCTTAGTCACTTTCCGGTTTTGAAATAGATATTGATCCCAAATACAGAGTTCAGGTGCCAGGAACAACTTCCTGTTTTCTTTTGGGTATTTGGACTTTTTTCTATAAATCTTTAAATGACAAGTGAATTCCACTTTCTTTTGCTTTTTCTCTAACCATTTAATCGCCACTTAAGAGTAGTGATGAACTTCTGGACAACAGTGAGGAGCTTCCGAGAGGAGTGCTGCTGACTGAATTTAAGTCACTGGTGGTTAGTAACTACAGTCCCACAAGTCTGTGCGTGCTAAATGATTATGGTCAACTGAAGAATTTCAAGAAATTCAAGAAGGTAAGTGTCTTTATTAACTGCCTCAAGAGGGCAGTGTTCGGACTGTTAGAAACAACACTGGCATTGAAAGGATTTAATGGGTTTTTTGTTTTTATTTTGTATCAGAGTTAATGTATTGTTTGTTGTGTTACATGGAAGTCACAGGACAACATGTGCGAGTGGTGTGTCTCTTCTTCCACTATATGAGTCAAGAGAATTGAACTCAGCTTGTCTGGCTTGGTGGCAGGCTTATTTACCCCTGGAGCCAGCCCCATTTTTGTTTTTTGAGATAGAGTCTTACATGAAGTATGAGGTGGCCTGGAACTCAACATGTACATAGACTTGCTTTGAACTCTGTAGTCTTCCTGCCTCAGCCTCTCAAGTGCCAGGATTATAGGTTAAACTTTGAAAAACTTAGAATAAGATATAGTGCCTTAAACTATAGTTTGTTTTCCTTGAGTTGCTTTGGTTGCTATGTAAAAACCTAAAGCAATTTTTAAAATAAAACCTACAGTTATAACTCATAAGTTTTTTTTTTTTTCTTCTTAGTGTGTAAGTCCTAATGGCGTATCTAAATCTAGATAGAGTAAGAGAGCTAGAAAAGGGTGAAAACAGATGGACCTGGCACAATTTCTGTGTGTGTGTGTTTCTCTTTTTTAATAATTTATTTAATTTTATTTTGAGTGCATTGGTGTAAGGGTGTCAGATCCATTGAACTGGAGTTACAGACAGCTTTGAGCTGTCATGTGGGTGCTGGGACTTGAACCCGGGTCCTCTGGAAGGAAGAGCAGACAATGCTTTTAACCATTGAGCCATCTCTCTAGCCCCATGTGCCTCATTTTCACTAACAGAATATACACTCCTTTGATGTTTATGCATGACTTATAACTGTTCACATTTTAGGTCTTTTTAAAAATAGTTTTCTTAGTTTATTAATATGCTTACCCTCGCTACTTATGTTTTCCAGACCAGATTTCCTGGAGCAGGAAAGCTTCCACGCGTCATTGGAGGGTCAGATTTAATTGCTCATCATGCTCGAAAGAATACAGAATTAGAAGAGTGGTTGAAACAGGAAATGGAGGTTAGTGGGAAGTGAGGCCCTTATAGTTTGAATTGCACTTTAGCTTCTTGTGACTCTTTGAGTAAACTTTCTTTTTCTTTTTAGTGTGAGTAGTATGTATGCATGTTTAAGTGTGTGTCGGGGGGAGGCCGGAGGTTGATTCGCAAGTCTTTGTTATTATCTACCTTATTTGTATTTGTTGGTATTGACTGACTGAGCTCCGAGATAGGGTTTCTTCCTGAACCTGCGGTGCTGGCTGCTGAGTCCTCTTAATCTGCCTGTTCCTCTCCCCTAGTGCAGAGAGAGGTCACTGGTGTGTGCCTGGTTTCTATGTGTGTGCAAAGGCTCTCATCTCAGGTTCTCACGCTTGCACAGCCTGCCCTTATCCACAGAGCCATCTCCCCAGCCCCAAGCAAGTTCTTCCTATAAGCAGACTTAAGTGACTTCAGTTCATTAGTTTAGGAAAATTATTTCATGATGGAACATTAAGACTCACCTTTACTTTTTCATCTTTAAGAGAATTACAGAGTTTTGTTAGTTAAAAAGCAAGTGGCATCTGAGTAGATTAATTATAAATCCTAATGTAAAAGCAAAAGAAAGAACAAAGCCAGAACACCCTAAGTACAGGCCTGGCACTGAAAAAGACAGCTACTGGGAAGCTCTTCCATGTAGACCCACGTAGGAGCAAATACCTCCTTGTCTGGGGGCTGCCTTCCAGAAGTTCCGGGTCCTTCTTGCTGTTTCCTGAACACCACCATTTCCCTGTTTCCCCTACAGGGTCTTTTGGGAAAGCCCAGTACAATTTTATCAAGTTTCATTTTTCTTGACTATAATTTTGCTAATTTCTTTGGATTGTCCTTCAGTTTACTGTTTCTGTCTTCAACACTTAATTTTCACTTCCAGCCATGTAGTTTTAAATTTAGACTTGTATCTTTTTGTTGCAAGCCTGTTTTTTTGTTGTTGTTGTTTTGTTTTTCAAGCTCTTTTTATTTCCTACAAATAGTTTTGCCAGTGATCCCAACATCTGATGTGTTTTTTAGTTATTTTTTTAAATTTTTTATGTGTGCAAATCTTTTATGAATACACATTCTTTTATGGCAGTCCATAAAATAATTAAGAAGGTAAAACCTAAACCCCAAGAAGTTACTTGTTGGAACATTAAGTGAATAATAATCCAAATTCTCTTTGTTCAGGAAGGTAGGAGGAGAGGCAGAATGGAAGCGAGGGAAATACCAAGTTGAAGGAAGCCACACCAAATGCACCCGAGTCATTGCTCGTCGTATGCTTGGGAGAAGTTAAAATGACGATGCAGCTGCCCCCTTTTCCATCTTCTTTAATCTCAGCGGGAGGTAGATGTGCTTTATGTGTGCCAACGCTTGGCTGGCGCGCAGGGGTCCAGGCACCCTGCTCCGTACAGCCCTGCACACGTTCCGCGTGCTGTCACCTGGCAGCCGCGGGGTGTCCCCACTGTGCTCCTTCGTGTGCTGTACTCCGTCCTTCCTCAGCCCTTCTAGTCGGGCGGTGAGCCCATCTTAATTTTCATCATCAGTGGGCCGGTTCCCAAAGTTCCCCCGAATTTGAGATAGTCATTCTGTAGTGTGCTACCTGATTTGAATATTGACATATTGAGATAAGATCTCAGTCCTTGCATTTCTGATAGTCATTTCTGTTTCTCTACACTGTCTTAATGTGTTTTTTAAAATAAAAATTAGTTTTGTTTTTTTTTTTCTTTATTGTCCCCTTAAAATTTAGTATCATTTGTTCTGAAGCCTTGATATTTTTTTGGTAAGGTATGCACTTTTATTAAATGGTCTTAAGTCAGAGTACAGGCAGGCCCTGAGTGCCTCAAAACCTTGACCCATGCTACATCCATGTTTTATGTATTCCTATTTATGTTCTGTTCTGCTGCTGTAATAGAAAATGTTAAAAAAAGATGTGATTTTGACATTTTACAATATGGATAAAAGAAATCTATGTAGGATTAAATCCATACAGGTCATGGTTCTGTATCTTTTTAATAACATTTTATTTATCTTGCGTGTGTGTGTGTGTGTGTGCGCGCGCGCGCGCGCACACACACGCATATGTGCATGCATGGGTGCCAGAGGTCAGCCTTACGGAGCCTGTTCTCCCCCTGTGGCATGTGGGTTTTGGGTGCTGAAGTCAGGACATCGGGCTGCACCATCGGGTGTCAGCGAGCGCCTTCACTCACAAAGCCATCTAGCTCTTCCTAAACACTGAGTGTTAGTGAAGCCCATGTGCCATCATCATTCCTGAGCACTGAACTTGGTCAAAAAGAATGTTTCCAAACTCACTAAGCTAACAGTGTAAGTTGGTTGTCTTTGAAATTGGTCAGACAGTTACTTAATTACAGCGCTCTTGCAGTAATCTTAGCATAAAATGAAAATAGGTCAGCTGAATGGGAGAGGCTACAGAAGAAAACCTTGCTAATGAACGACGTCTTGGATATGAAACTGGAGGATGACTCTATAGTCAGTATACCAGATATGTGCTACTGAGCAAATGACTCATGTGATGTTAACTTTTGCAGGTACAGAAACAACAAGCGAAAGAAGACTCTCTTGCCGATGACCTATTCAGGTAAGAGTTGACTTTGCTCTCAAGGCCTTTTGAGAAATGTAGGTATAACTCAGTTATGCTCATGCCAATCAAATATTTGTTTCTTCTGTCCTTATAAGAGACACCTAATCTCTTCACATAAAGAATGTTTGACTTTTAAAATGCATGTGTTTTTATTATTTGGCCATATACTAATTTAATTTCCTGGCTGCAGATTTAAGGTTAATTCCGTTTTATTAAATAAGATGTTTGAATTTTTACATGGTGTCTTTCAGGCAAAGGAAGAGTTCTAAAGTATTTAGAGTATCAATCTGAGGTTTTTGTTATAGTAGAATTAAATGAACAAATTTTAAAATCAGACAAGTGTCCAGACCATTTGTCTAGTTTTAATTTGACAGATGGATAAAAATGAAAGGTTGAATAAGAAATTCAAAACTGTTTTTGTTGTTGTTTGCTTGCTTTGTGGCAGTTCTAGAGAGTTGTTAGGAATGATAATAAATTTTGAACATTTCTGGAAACCCAATAACTTTGTAATCGTTACCTCTTAAATACTAATGAAGTACAGAAGAGGTGGACCCTGGCTAAGACGGTAACATTCTTCTCACCCTCAATCTTTTTACACACTTACTGTGTATATGCACACATTATGCATACCTGCGTTTCTGCATGCGTGTGTTGAAGCATGCATGTCATAATGAGTGTGTGGAGATTGGAGGACAACACTCAGGAGTTGCTTTCTCCCGCCATGGGGACGGAACTCAGGTCATCAGGCTCCACAGCAAGAACCTGTTGAGCCATCTTGCCGCCACCCCAACCCCCAGTGTGTTTTGCAGCTAGTTTTACAATTTTCTTGACTTGACAGCTGACAGTATAAATCACTAGTAAGAATAGTGACAATACTGATTTTTCATGAGTACAAGAAAAATCAATGAGACATGTAGTTGCTGAGTTTCTATAGGAGAAAATTGTAAAAAAGCAGAATCTATCTTTTTGTACAAACAATATACCTTCATTTGAGGAAATGGTTATTTAGGATCTATTCAAATCCACACTTAATTTTTATGCTATTGTTTTAGTTTTAAAGCTTCATATGATTTGTGTTAATGATGATATTTTTATCACATTATTCATGTAAGTAACATCAAGGGATAAATGGAACTTTCAACTTTAAGAGCAACGCTGATACTCTCATGAGGTTTGCTAAAGACAGACTGCAGGTTGAAAGCCCTTTAATGGGATCCCTTACTGAAATGTCCTTTAACCTGATTTTTTTCTTTGCAGATATAATCCTAATGTAAAAAGAAGATGATTGAACTTTTGTAAAGAAAGCTATAGAAACGCTTTTCTTAGCAAGCATTTATTTCAGGCCAACTGGGATACATGAATGTAGTACACAAGAATTACAAATCCTTTAAGGCTTCAGTTTATTAAATAAAGCAAACATTCCGTTCCTTTTGTGTGGTAATGTTGTCTCCGGGAGCTTTGTTATCTTGTGTATTTTTTACTAAGTAATTATCGCAATCATAGTGTCCAGAATCCTGAAACTGCAACTGCATTAAAAGTGAAGGCCAAAATCTCCCTTCTACGGGCTACGTGGGTTTCCCTGTGTCAGAAGGGTTATCTATAGGTACACATATAGATGGACTTTTGTGACTCATTCAAATACCTGAGCTCAATATTTTTCAGGAACTACTGTAATTATTGTGTACCGTGTTCTCCCCTTAGATCTGGTGACGGGCACATCCACATAACTTTGTCTTTACCATTGTTCTATAAGCGTCCTAAATGGATGTGATCCAAGTGAAAGGACGTCAGTGGCAAGAATATCGCCCACATCTCAGTACAAGAGATGGAGACTGTGCAGATGCACCCTGTGACTTGCTCCCCCAGGAGAGGTAGACTCCTTGGTGGTGGCTGTACCGATCACAGTGCCTCTGTCTTGGCTCCTTACATGTCCAAGTATGTCCCTCTGTGAAGTAGAAGCAGGGGTTGTCTTCTACCAAGAGGAAAATGATAACAGGAAATAGGTTAATAGGTTTTTTTTCCAAATATTTTAATGTGGAGAAGTAGGGTTGTATATTATGCATTATATTCTGGAAAGTATTATAAGCCTTTTAGTACACACTGAAAGCTTCCTGGCCTGTAAATTCTGCCACCCTAGCTATCTTACTTTTTTTTTTTTTTTTTAACTTAGAACATAATGTAGAAACAAGGCGTAGCTATATTTGGTAGGTCTTCATGGAACATTGTCTGTGTGTGCCCCTTTAAAATTACACTTATGTGTCTGGATCAGCTACTTTCTACCTTAGATCAGACTTCAGAACATACTACTTCATTTTACAGAGACAAGTTACAAATATGGGCTTAGTTTATTCTCATCCTTCATTACACTTTCCAGTTTTATTTATGAAACAGCAAGCATACATCTAAACCTTTGTTCTTCCTCAACACAGTGAAAGAAAAGGCACTAAAGGTCCAGTAGGTTTTTTTTTTTTTTTTTTAACATTCCTTTTATGGCTGGAGAGATGGCCATGAGGAGCACTTGCTGTGGCTCTGGGGAGAATCCAAGGCTTCAGGATGCTAGGCACTCTACCAACTGAACTGCATCTCCAGCACACACTTTAAATTTTGATAAAGTCACATTTACCTATTTTCTTTGATATTTTTCCTGTCACACACAGAAAAATACTATTTAAGTCCAAGACTCAGTGTTAGTCCATAAGGTTACATTTTAATATTTCCATAAATACTAATGTAAACTTCTTAACTTTTAAGGATGGTATAAAGTGGTCAGGAGTAGGTTTCTCCCATATGCATGTCAAACACTTTATTGGAAGTCTTTCTGCATTAAATTACCTTGAAGCTTTATCACACATTGGTTATGGTTTATTGTTTACCCATCCTTTCATCAGACTACTCTTTTCTTGAATCAGAAAATCTCATTCCAACTTATTCACTAAAGTGGGGTCTCTCAAATTGCAGCCCACAGATATGGCTAGCCAGTTTTAGGGATGTCACCTCTGCCTTCTGGGGACCTGAATGCTCAGTTTGTGAGCCATTTGCTTTATCACTGAGCCATTTCCCCAGTCTCTGGAACCCAAAACTTCAGTCCTCTAGCAAGCCAGTTTCTATCAGGGATCTGTTGTGCAGGAGGAGCAGGAGTGGGTTGGATTTGTGTCCATAGTAGTGGGAGCACTCCCTCTCCTGCCCCAGGCCTGCATTTGGAAGGCATTTAGTCCTGCACCCCTCACCTTTGCCCACACTAGAGCTGCAGCCGGGTTAAACTCCTCCCTTCCAGAAGGTCAAGTCCAGCAAGCACAAAGAACTCCTCTCCATGCAAACAAGGCATTCCCAGCACCTTAGGCCCAGCCAATGATGTGCACTTATCCCCAAAGCCTCTACCCACTCCCCGAAGGTATAAATGGCCTTTTGTCTCTCCCCCAACCCCCATTAAAGAAGCTGCTCTTCAAAGCCTGCCTCATCTGCTGCCTGAGGTCTCCAACACCCCTGACCCATCCCACCTGTCTGATCATAGGTGACAATGCTGTTAAACGGGGGGGGACAGAGTGGGAACAACAGATTTTAATTGTACTAGAAACGAATGATTTTGCTTTTTCAAGACAGGGTTTCTGTGTGGCCATGGCTGTCCTGGAACTTGCTTTGTAGAGCAGCTGGCTGGCCTGAGATCTGCCTGCCTCTGCTTCCCCAGTGCTGAGATTAAAGGCACGTGCCAGCACACCCAGCTAAGAACTGATAGCTTTAAAATACCCAACCTATATATGTACTCAGTGAGATTTCCCATTTCTTTCAACTCATTTGTACTTCTATTGTGAGGCTTGCATATTTTACAGTGACCCCTGTACTCAGTGTTTTGATGTTGTAAATGATCTTTTAGGTAGTTCATCTTAACAATGATGCCTTGCTTGTAATATGGTATTTTTGTATAATGAATGTAGAACCCTGTAAGTAGCTAAATTCACCTTAATATAAATCGATTTTTGTAGACTTTTTCAGATTTTTACATATACATCATTTGTGAATAAATTCTGCTTTCCAGTTCTTTTTTCTCATCTTACTAAATTGACTATTAAAACAATGTCAGTGTTATGCTTGATCATAGCTATTCAGACTTCCCATTTCTTGTGTCTTTCAAGGACTTGATCCATTCTATGCCCTCATATTAAGTTGTTCATTTCTGTATTTGTACTATCTTTTTTTTTCCCTCGTTACTAGCACTTTGTTCCTCCTGTATGGCTAGGGGCATGTCAAGTCTATTAAGATTTTGAAGGCCTAGTCATTGATTTCATTATTGATTTCACTATTCCCTTCTTTATACTTAGGGATTAATTTTCTCTAGCTCCCATTGATTATTTAAAAATGTTAATGTTTTAACATTCATACCTGAATTCATTCTGCAGTGTTATGTGGCAGCTTTGTTCCACTGTGCAGTTTTTGCTCTGCTTTCTAGCCGTTTATTATTCACTTTTCTCTCCTGTATTGGCTTTGCAGCGCTGTTGTTTTAACATAAGTCTACTTTAAATTAGTAGCAGCCTGTAATGCACACTGTACATCTTATAGAACTGTACTACCGCCTATTTTCCTAACACTGGTGTTTTAACTCACTTTATGTCTTACATCTCCAATTTTTAGGTTTAGATTTTAAATACTCTCAATAGTTAGACCCTAGATACTTTTAGGAAAAAAATTACCACCTCTTACTAGTCTTCTTTCATTCATGTAAACATATCTCATTGGGTTCATGTTCCTCCAATGTGAAGTTGAAACTTCAAGGAGTTTTTTTTTCATTGAATCTTTTTCACAAACAAGGAGTTGCCAGAACTTCCTTTTTGAAAGTGTACTTAGAAGGTCCCACCACTTCCTACTGACCATTCCATTTTGTTGGTTTGACTATGATTCTTCCCTATCCCACCCAAGTCTTGTGGATTTGAATACCTGGTTTCCAGCTGGTGGCTGTTTGGTGGGAATTATGAGGTATGGCTCTAGTATGCCATACATACTAGTTTGTATGGCAAACTAGTTTGCACCACCTCAGTGTTAGTTCTCTCTGGTTCCTGTTTGTGGATCAAGATGTGTGCGCTCAGCTGCTGCACTAGTGCCTGCCTGCCTGCCTGCCACCGGTGTTCCCCACATGACAGTAATGGATTCGTTCCTCTGAACTATGACCCCATATAAACTCTTGCTTCTGTAAGTTGCCTTAGTCATGATGCTTTATCACAGCAATAGTAATGTAACTAAGACATCTATATTTTAAAGGCTTTTTCACAATTACTAATGTTCTCCATGTTTGTTCATAGAAAAGCACTACCAGTGTGCACCTTAGGGGCTCCAAGGCACTTCTGGCTGTACTGCACCTGTGTATTTATTTTTTTTGTTTTTAATTTCCACCAGATTAGGTTGAGCATTCTTTCAACAATTTTAAGTATGGTCTGTTTCTCACATTAGACAAGGGCTAGAAGTCACTTAGCTCACTAACGAGTCTAATATTAAAAAGCAGATGGAATTTTGGCACAGATGTTCATCAAGTAATAAGAATACAGGAGGATAGCACATCGGAGTTAATACTTTGTCAGGACAGCTAGTACTGAAGGAGCTGGGGAAAGCTGGCATTGATCTGGAGGATTTCCTATTCTAGACTTATTTGAGGACTTACTTTCTCTGACATCTTATTCTTAAAATGTGTAAGTTAATACCCCCACAACTGCAACTGCTTAAGTATAAAAGTCTCCTGCGAGAGAAGAGAATGCCAACTAAGTCTTATTTTACCCCATAAATTACGTTTATAATACTGTTATTTTCAACTTACATGAGACATTAAAGTAAAACATCTGATCCAACCCAGAGCTCAAGCATAGGCAAGAAAGCATAATCAGAAGACGTGTCTTTTCAAAAAGGTGTGAAGTTTCTCTGAAAATAGTTAATCTTATTAAGGAACTAGAAGTTGACTTCACAGATGAGAGTTAAAACCTCATCTGATGTGATTGGTTGGTAAAGGAAATTAACATAACACTGAATGATGAGCACTCAGCATTGCATTCAGCAGGACACTCCATGGTAGGTAGTCCACTCTTTTGTCTTCTTCTTCTTCAGGAAACTGGAAACAAATTGAGTACATTCTAGGTAAAATTATAGACCCCCAAAAGGGGGCAACTCTGAAATATTCCCAGGAGCCCTGAAAGATGTCTTGTTTAGCACTAACACATTTCACAGTGTGTGAAAATCAGGACTATCAGAGGACATAATCTGATAACTAGTGTGGGCTGCTTTGTCATTTCCTATGAATGAACACTGTTATAGATCTCCAAGTAATACTTTGAGAGTGGAAAAGGGCACAATCTAATTTTCCACACTAACCTTTAATAATTCTGGCAAAACCCAAACAATATTCTAATTATAGTACTTAGTGTGCCCCGAATCTTCTGATTTGTTAATAGAAATTAACTCAGTGTTCACACAAGGATAAGTAGTTCCATCCACAATTTATTGAATTGCAAATCAGATTCATTAGATGTTATGATAGCTAAACAGAGTAAATCTTATAAAAAGTATTTTAGTAGGTTCTTGGATGTCAGCATTATTGAAAAATTAAATTATGAGACGTTAGGGATATCAAGTACCTGTCGAAGTTTGAACAGTAAAAATATTTTTTAAAGACCATCATATTTGGTAATAAATTAGGTTTATATAGCTGATAATTTCAAAATAAATAAAACCTGAGTTGAAAATGCTTCCTCTTATCCTACTACAGCATACACATTTGTAGCCCATTTTCACTTAGATCAGTGTGCTTCAAACGTCAGTGTGTACACATTCAACCCTTCAGGATCTTGTGTGAGTATAGTAAGCCTAAGTTCCTAATGAGCTACAGAGGAAGCTGATGTGGACAGCCCTTGGACCATCCCTTGAGCAGTAAGGTGACCAGTATCAATTAAAAATGATTTCTATCTGAATGACTGGCTTTATAAATGCCAAGTTAAAAAGAATGTTCTAGTTAAATGAAAGCATGAAGTATACCAAGATGGCAGTGTTTGGATTTGTCTGAGAGTAACACCTCTCATACACTTGAATACAACTCTGGATACCAAGCTTTGGTAACTTTAGAAGAGTGACAGCTGGAGGCTCTCCCAGTTAATTCAAGCCAACACACTGCAATACACCACTGTTAAAAATATTTAATAGTTAAGGGTCCAATTAAATTCCTTGTAAACTTTAAGCTATTCCATCTCCTCCTCCTCTCTGAACAAACAAATGCTGCTTCTTCTTCTGTCTTGTAACCAAACAGCGTGTAACACCCAATGCCCCTCCCTTTAAAAATCGAACAAAATTGTCTCCAACCAAAGGGCCCAAAGCAAAAAGGTTGGCTTCTTTAACACATTCATAGGTGTATGCATCAATCTCCACAGGGTTAGCCTTGCAGGTTATTGGCTGGCTTGAGTTGCGGCCTAGGTAACACCCATGTTCCTTCAGAAAGGATAGGTTAGGGTGAGAACCTATCAAGATTACAGCTGCAGACAGCTTAAATATTTTCTTCAGTCCAGAGACACTCTGAAGGATGCATTTCATGTCTGACTTGAAGGAAAGCACACGGTGCTCAGGAAAACTGGTGTAGTCTGATGAACCTGAGTCTGAGGAGTATGTCTGAGCGCACATCATATGGTAGACTTTGTGATACTCGGGGTACAGCTTTTTGGGAAGCTGTTTGAAAATTAAGCTTGGATCAGTCACTCGTCTGCGGAACACGTGGATCACGGGGATGTTACTGTTATAAGCACAGAGCACCGCATCGGCTGCAGTGAGGCCAGACCCTACGATCAGCACTGGATCCACTCTGCCACACAGCTTTCCTTGGTTTACAGCAGCTCCAAATTCAGGCATTGAGTGAAACACAAAAGGAAACTCTTCCCCTTCAACTCCCAGGCGGGCAGGAGAATCCAATGTCCCGGTTGCGAGAGCTACATTCTCAGCGAAGAGGCAAAAGGGAACGTGAGAGCCACCTGCAATTCGCTGATAGCCTCTGATTTCCCAGTTTCTTTTGATAAATTTGGACTTCTGGCTTTGTAAACGCTGTGCTGAAATATCGCTGTCTTGACTAGCATTATCACCTTGATTTCTGTAGAGTCTTGATACAGAGGTGATGTAAGTATTCTCTCGGAAATTCTTCTGAAGACCCATGACCTTCACATAGTGCTTGTAGTAGCGAGCTATTTCCTCTGGCATAACACGGTCCCCCTTTAAGTTCCTGTATGATGAAAAGGAAAAATGCCCTATGAAGAGAGCACTTTCAGTTTCAGATTATTTCTCTAGCTACAACCTTTATATCTTAGTTCTTTCAAGACTGTTAGTTAAAAAGTATCCTCATGTTTTATAAAAATTATCTTATCCTAGTGAGAATCACAGTCATTAGCAAAACACATAACAAGAGCTAATAAGGATGTGGGTAAAAGGGAACTCTGCTGGTAAAAAATACAAACTAGCCTAGTTGCGTGGCAGATTTGAATGGACAGCTCCCAAAAAAACGAACACCAGATCTGTCACAACTGTTATATTCCTGGGTATTTACCCAAAGGGCTTCTAGTCAACATGTCACAGAGATATTTATACTTGTACATCAGCAATTATTACAGCACAACAGCCAAGCTTTAGAACCAACCACTTAGGTTCCAACCTAAGAAAACAGATAAAGAAACATAGCATGTATGGTATACGCCTGTAATGCTAGCACTTGGGGAGGCAGAGGCAGGCAGATCTCTGTGAGCTCATGGTTAGCCTGGTCTACAAAGCAAGTCCAGAACATCCAAGGCTCCACAGAGAAACCCTGTCCCCGAACCCCCCAAAATGTATGAAATGTTTGAAATAATGAGCAAAAACATGCAACGGGAAAATAGATGTAGATTCCCTGCAGATGACCATAGTTAGTGAATTTAGCCAATCTCAGAAGTGCAGATGTTTTCTCTGATTATGCATAAGCATTTAAGAGCATGCCTTGTATATAAATGACTAGAAAAGAGAAGTCAAACTGTCTACAACTCAAAGAAAGCAAGTAAGAGGAGGCTGTCTGACACATTTTCAATTAATAAATCGATTACAATGTAGGTATTTGAAAATCAGACCATTTTTCTTACTACTGTAATTTTGTAAATTATTTCATTAACAAATTACTGTGCAGAGGGGCTGGAAAGATGCATCAACAATTAATAGTACCTAGGTTAAGATCCCAGCACAAAGCTGGGAACCATGACAAACACCTTTAATCCTGTTTAATTCAGATGGATAATACTTCTGGTTAGAAAAAAAAGCAAAAACCTTCCATTTTAACAAATCCAAGAATATGCTAAACAATTTCACTTGCTTAACAAATAAATTCAAACAACTTCACTCATTTTGCAACTTTAATCTTTCAACCTCTACATATTTCTATTTTAAAAAGTCTACAGTGGAGGCTGGAGAGATGGCTCAGCCAAGAACACTGGATCCTCCTCCTGAGGTACTGAGTTCAATTCCAGGTAACTACAAGGTGGCTCACAACCATCTATAATGTGATCTGATGCCCCCTTCTGGAATGTGGGTGTATATGCAGATAGAGCAAAATAAATAAATCTTAAAAAAGAAAAGGCTAAAGTGAATGTTTAAAGATTTAACTTTTGTTCCGTTTACTTATACTATGAGTGTTTCGCCTGAGTGTATCTATGTGTACCACATATGTATCTGGTGCACGTGAGCATTAGAGGTGGTGTCAGGTCCCCTGTAACTGAAGTAATGGATTGTTGTGAGCCACCATGTGTTGGGAACTGAACCTGGGTCCAGTAAAGCAGCAAGTGCAGGGTGGTAGTGGCACAGACCTTTAATCCCAGCACTCCAGAGGCAGAGGCAGGTGGATCTCTGTGAGTTTGAGGCCAGCCTGGTCTACAGAGTGAGTTCCAGGACAGCCAGGACTACATCACTGTCTCAAAAAACAACAACAAAAAGGAAAGAAAGAAAGGGAGGGAGGGAGGGAGGGAGGGAGGGAGGGAGGGAGGGAGGGAGGAAGGAAGGAAGGAAGGAAGGAAGGAAGGAAGGAAGGAAGGAAGGAAGGAAGGAAGGAAGGAAGGAAGGAAATAAGTATTTGGGGCTGGAGAGATGGTTCAGTAGTTAAGAACACTGGCTGCTATTCCAGAGGCTAGGTTCAATTCTGAGAATCCATATAGCAGTTCACAATTGTCTTTAACTCCAGTTTCAGGCTGACACCCTCACACAGACATACATACTGGTAAAACACCAAAGCACATAAAGTAAAAATAAGTAAGTCTTTAAACAAACAAAAAAGCGGCAAGTGCTCTTAATCACTGAGCTATCTCTCCAGTCCCCTGAAAATTTAATCTTAATTAAATTTATTACGACTTAGGTATTTTGTTTGTTTTCTAGTGTGTAGTCCTGGATGCCCTGGAATCTTCTCTGTAGACCGGGCTGGTCTCGAACTTAAGAGCCCTGCCGGCCTCTGCCCCCAAGTGCTGGGATTAAAAGGGTATGCCACCTCAATGATCTAGATCTAAAACTGATATCCCGAAATCTTTTTAAATTAAGAAAAACTTCTATTGTTGCTACCTAGCAGGGTGTCAATTACTCAAACTTTCCATTTATTCTAACAAAGATTAAGTTAAGTTCCTGCTTTAACTTACTTTCATTAGTAGTAAAATTAGGTTTTCTGTAATAATAAATCAAATCTAGTTTGTACATGTACCAGAAAATGATAGGGCTCTTTACAGTTCTTTTGAACTTTGTTCTTTCCCCAAAAATGAATAAGACTTATATTCTTCCAAAAACAAATTTCTCAGCTAGTACCACTTAAATCACTTATAATTAAATATTTACCTTCATGTCCACAGTAGCCAACCATATTGCATGTTTTAGTTTATTATTCTAAATGACCAGTCATAATACATTACCCATTACCCTTCAAAAACAAACACCTTGCCGGATTGTGGTGGTGTACACCTTTAATTCCAGCAGATTTAATAACCCTGGCAGAAGCAGAAATCTTTAAAAGTTCCAGGCCAGTCAAGGCTATGCAGAATATTTCTCTCAAAAACACCAACCAAACAAACAAACAAGGGGCTAGAGATGGCATAGCTGGTCTTCCAGAGGACCTGGGTTCAATTCCCAGTACTCACATGGCAGCTCTCATCTGTCTCTTAACTGTAGTTTCAGGGAATCTGAAACGCTCAAACCAATGCACATAAAATTAAATATATATATAAAAAAAATTAGGTATGTATACATGAAGTGTAGATAAAGAATCTCATACATATTCAAAAACTGATACAAGTTTGGGAAATAATGTATAGTTAGATGAGAAAGTAACAGAGTGATTTAATACGGAAAAGAAATCCTGGTTAACAAGGTTGCAGGAAGGCCCCTATAAACAGTTCTTTAAATACACATAGCTTTATAGAATCCTAACTGGATTCATAAAAGTTTTTATTTAGTAAGTATATTTCTATTCATCTAATACAGGAGTCACAGATACTGTGAACATTTTTCACAGTTCCCTTTTCTTCACACATCAAAGAATTTTAATATAGTTTGATCTTTACCTTCGTTTGCTAGACATCCAATCTTTAAATTTAAGTCCAGGCAGCTCCATCCAATTTCCAAAGCTGATTGTCAACATGGAGCCTTCCATATTCTAGTTTAAAGTACAGTTAAAAAAAAAAAAAAAAAGCAATAAAACAATATTACCTTTTGAAATCAACACATTTTATTTATATGCAAATTCAGTCATATAAACATTCACAAGAGTTCAAAAGGATGGTAGATAAATACTACGGATTTTGTTTTCAGACATAAAGAATAAAAGCCAAATGATAGAAAAATGGATAAAACTGGAGATAATCCTATTAAGTGAAGAAAGCCATTTTTAGAAATACAAGCATCTTATGTTCTCTCATTTGTAGTCAATTTCCTCTAAAATTCCACTCTAATAAAACTTTTATACATTTCCACCATTTGGTATTGTCTACATTTATGAAACAAATTACAGCATTTGCTTTGGTCTATGATCGGTATAATTAAGATATACACATTGAAGAACAAATCAATATTTTAACCTCTTAAATAAAATAAAAAATGTTCACTAATTTCCAAAGCTTTGTTTCTTCATTTTGTTATTTGTTTTATAGATTTTTTAAAAATTAGAAAACTGCTTTTTTTCTATAAACTGTAATTTTGAAATCTGGACTAGGCTGGATACAATATATTCATTTTCTAAAACTAGACAATTAAGCAGTGGTTGCCTAAGAAACAAGACTCAGTACTAGGGTTAATGTTATTGAAGAAGTAAGCCTCTCAAGCTTTCTCGCCCTACTTCTGCTTTGCACAAAACAAAGAAAAGCTAAGTGCCAAGGGACCTACCCAATCACCAACAATCCCATTCAGCTCTCATAGACAACAGCTCTATTCTCATAACTTGCCCTGTTTCTACAGAGCCCAGCACTGAGAATGGGCATATTATAATAAATTTTATCCATTCACTTACATAATTTTTGAGACAGGGTCATGTATCTGTGGTTTGTGTATTTAATTTTGACACAGTGTCATGTGTGGCAGTCTGGCCTTGAACTCGGCTATGTGGTGGCTATGCCATGAACACCTGCCTGCTGTCACTGGGATAACAGTGTTCTAAAGGACTAAATGTGACAGAAGTGCTGTCAAATAGCTATGAAATGGTACTTCTTCAAAGATGCAAATGGGTCTGAGGTCAGCCTGGTGAGTTCCAGGACAGTCAGGGCTACACAGGGAAACCCTGCCTCAAGAAAAAACAAAACAAAACAAAAAAAAAAAAAAAAAAAACCAACAACAATGCCCCCCACCCCCAAAACAAAGATCAGGTTGGAAGCATGCCTTTAATCTCAGCACTTGGGAGCTGAGGCTAGTAAACCTCTGAGTTTGAGGCCAGCCTGGTTTACAAAGTGAGTTCTAAGACAGTAAGGGCTATGTCTTGAAAAAAAAAAAAATCAAATTGGTTCTATTAGGGCAATATATAATAATACTTCAATATACACTAACATGTGACTAATACTTACATGCCATGCCCCACCAGGCGGGCCCTTACCAAGAACTAAGTGAGGGATATAGTGATGTTGCTCCAATTTCCAGTGCAGAATGGATGGGTAATCATACCCAAAGTCAGCATCTGGATGAAGAAGTGTGTCAAAAAGTACTGCCACCGGATTAGATGATCGACCCTCGAGGCCCTCAGACAGGTATTCTAAGTCCTGAACCAAAGGCGGGAAAACATGAGTTTGAAAAAAGCCAAGACAATTATGTTAATAAAAGAAATGCCAACCCAACAGTTCCCAGAGAGTGAGTGAGAGAACATGCATGTTCCTTGAGCTCATTCATATTTGATTCCTTGGCAAAATAAATGTAGGCAATGTCTGGATTTAAAACAAAGTGGTTTTGTTTTGTTGTTGTTGTTTTTTTTTAATCCTTATAAAAGTTGAAGATGCCTTTGGCATACAAATGTCAAACAGGATGTAAAGCTAGCACTTCCCAAATTGATTTCAGCAGAGAACATTAAAGCCTCCCCCAGAGGGCTGAGAGATGGCTCACTCCTCAACAAGCATGAGGCCCTGTGTCTCATCACTAGAACCCATAAAAGCCAGGCATGGTAGACCATGCTTATAATCACAGCACTGTGGAGGTGGAGATGGAAGGACTTCTCGAGGCAGCCTAGCCTAGCTGAGATTAAGAAATACAAGAAGCCTCACTTCAAAAAATAATACGAACAGTTAACTTGTAAGGCATACATGAATGTAACCTCATGCTCTTATATAACATAACAGCCACATAAATTTTTTTAAAATTCCCCTAGGAAATAATTTGGAATTTTTTTGCTCAAAAATTCAATATAATTTAGAAGATGTGAGATCAGAATATATAAAACTAAAATAAAGAGAAAGCATTAGTTAGAATGATTTACAACAAAGAAATACATAAACCTAATCTTGTTTCAGCATTAAAATATTTTTAAAACTGATGTAACAAACAATACCTGATCAACAATGGAGAGATGTCTTGCTTCTTCTAGTTTACTATGTAAGATTGTATTTGGATGTATTGCTTCAGATGACAAATACGGTCTGTAGCCTGACAGCATATACGAAAGGCATATTCCTGAAGGTCCATTTCCTATTTTTTTTTAAAGCAAAATAACGTAAGTTGATCCTCTTATTGCCTGGCACTTGCCCTCTCCTGTTCTTCCTCCTCCAATAACTAAAACCTGCCTCTAACAAGCCTGACCTCTGCCTCCATTCTCAATGAATTCTTTCAGAATCTTGTCTACCTAAGGCTTCCACTCTATGCTACTGACTTCCAAAATCAGTTATCTAGGATGACCTGTTCTTGAGAAATACGTGCTTTCATCGGCTACTTCTTTATTACAACTGATGTGGAATCAATTAGACAAAGGGCAGGAGAGATGGCTCAGCAGGTAAAGGCGCTTGCAGCCCTTCTCAACAGAGTTCAACCTCTGGAACTCACACAATGGAAGGAGAACCAATTCTTGAAAGCTGTCCTCTGAAACTCCACACATGTATTGTGGCATAGTTGCATAAATTATATCAATAAGAAAACAGACAAATATAAATGTCTAAAAAAAAACAAACATTTTAAAAACCAAGAGAATTCATATGGTAATATCCACAAGTGCAAGAAAAGCAATTTGATAAAACCCAGCATCTATTAAGGATTTGAAAAACATACAGCATATGTGAAAGAGGAAAACTTAACATGACAAAGAACATGTTTAGGATAATATGCACAAGTTGAAAAAGGGCAGGGGAGGACATTGTTTGCCAGTGACATAATTATCTTCATAGAAAATCCCAAGAATTGACCCCTCAAAACCCTATAACAAGCCATTATGGTAAGACTGAGGATACACGTCAATAAATAAAAGTCAACCTCTTTCTTACAGAAGCAATGAAAAAGTGCAAAGCAGATGCTGAGACTCATAACCAAACCTTGCACAGAGTGTAGGGAATCATATGAAAGAGGGGGAGTTAGTAAGAAACGGGAGAGGATGGGAGCACCACAAGGACCAAATTTCTGGGCACAGGGGTCTTTTATGAGACTGTTTCTCCAACCAAGGACCATGCCTGGAGATAACCTAGAACCCCTGCTCAGCTGTAGCCCATGGCAGCTCCGCATCCAGGGGCTGCGAACAGGGACTCTCTTTGACCTCCCCCCTCCCCCGAGGAAGGAGCAGCATTGCTGGGTCCCAGAGGAGGACATTGCAGCCAGTCCTGATGAGACCTGATAAACTAGGGTCAGATGGGAGGGGAGGAGGACATCCCCTACCAGAGGACTTAGAGAGGGGCAGGGAGGCGATGAGAGGAGGGTAGGATTGGGAGGGAATGAGGGAGTGGATGACAGCTGGGATACAAAGTAAATAACCTGTAATTAATATACAAAAATAAAATTTATTAAAAAAAGAAATAAAAACCACACTATCATTTACACTTATGTAAAAGTAAATATTTTAGCATAATTTTAATTAGTGGGTTCTAGTGAGCTACATAAAGCAAATCACAAAATTATGACTAGAAATAATTTTTAAAAGGCCTACAAAGATGGGAAGACATTCCATGTTCATAGATAGAAAGACTAAAAATTATCGTTGGTTGTTCTTAACCTGATCTACAGACTTAATACAATTCCAGCTGCAATATAGAAAGTCAAACAGCCACTACACTGCTATCTTGAGATAGGTCTGACTTCTTCAAGTCTGAAAATTAGATGGAAAATAGAAATAGCAGGTAATAAGTGAACATAATTATCAAAAGTTTTAAAAATCTCAATTGTTGAATACCTTAATTATAATAACTACACATCTTATCTGTTGACATGCTACAACTTAAGTAGTTATAAATATCACTGCATAGCATTCCAATGTCAAATGGCATGAGTACTGATTTACAGTTGTCGTTCAATTTGTAAGTCTGTCTACAGTTGTCCAATCCATACCACACAGCTATAGAGTTGAAATCCAGTAATTTCTACACAAAACGATCTCCACAGAACTCTAATAACACTGGTCACCATTAACAGCTCCTGTCAGTAATTCAGTGAAAAGCTATTGCATTCCAACATGGATTCTGTATCATATGAGCCAATCCAAAGAGTTGGTAATGACTATTTTAACATATCAAACAACTTAATACTTCATTATAATTCTGTGCTCAGGTCCTGCTGCATGCAGGCTCTTTATCAACTGAGCTTTTCCCTAACCTGGATAAAAGCTTACTTAGTACTTAACTTGCTTACAAGATATGAATATGAGATAAATGGCTATTTCAGACTTAAATACTTATAACTTAAATTACATTATAATTCTTTGGCTCCACTCACAGAAGCATCTCTTTTCTTAAGATATTTGTTAATTGCCACATGGTAACTATACATATTTGTAAGGCAAAGCATGGCATTTTGATGCATATACACAACAGTGATTAGATCAAGGTTAACATATACATCACTTTAGATATATGACAATTATTTGTGCTGGGAACATTCAAACCGTTACTTTAAGATGTGGAGCCTTTTCAATACAATGTAAGAACATACACACCTTAGAAGTAAGAGCAGTAGCTAGTTTTAAGAAATAAAATATAATAACTCACCAATTATTACCACAGGCAAAGTTACTGACGAATCTTCAAGTAAAGAAGTTTCTTCAACTAATGGCATCCCTTTAACTTTCGGCTCCAAATTATCATCAAAATATTGCACTAAGGAATTAAAAATCTCTCCTTCCGCTTCAGTGTCACTATAGTTTCTTTAAAAAATAAAAATAAAGAGTTAAAAAAAAGCAAAGGTATAGTAAATATAGTTTTATAAAACCCAATTATTTCTCATAATTATATGTAAGTAATAAAATACCCATCAGTTGCATAATGCTGTCAAAGGTATATTATTTAATCCCACAAGTCTGAAGTAGCCATTTATCTCATATTCATATCTTGTTGAGCAAGTTAACTACTGAGTTAGCCTTTGTCCACACTAGGAAATAGCTCAGTTGGTAAAGAGCCTGCATGCAGCAGGACCTGAGTTCAGTCACCAGAAACCACACAGAAAGGCTGGGCACTGTGTCACATCCCTGGGGCTCACTGGCCAGCCAGTCCAGTCTACTTGTAAAGCTCCAGCCCAGTAGAGGATCCCATCTAGAAAATATGATAAAATATATAGATGGATGGCTTCTAAGACACTAACACACTCATACATACACAACACAGCTTCTTCTACCAAAGACAGAATTATACTTGAGATTTTGTAATTCTTTTGAGATACCTAGGAAGGGCTAATTTCCCCTCTCCTTTTTTCTTTCCTTTAGACAGACAATGGTAGTGCACACTTTCAATAGGTGGGCAGATGCAGTTTGAAGCCAGCCTGGTCTACTGAGTGAGTTCCAGGACAGCCAGGGCTACACAGAGAGAGAGGAAGAGAGGAAGGGAGGAAGGGAGGAAGGGAGAAAGAGAGGAAGGGAGGAAGGGAGGAAGGGAGAAAGAGAGGAAGGGAGGAAGGGAGGAAGGGAGAAAGAGAGGAAGGGAGGAAGGGAGGAAGGCAGGCAAGCCCTTTGATCTAGTCACAGATTTTTTTTTTTATTAATTACACTTTATTTATTTTGTACCCCCCCTGTAGTTGCCTTCCTTCCTCCCCCTTCTCCACACATGCCCCTCCCCAAGTCCACTGGTAGGGGAGGTCTTCTTTTCCTTCCTTCTGATCCTAGTCTAGCAGGTCTCATCAAGAGTGGCTGCACTGTCATCATCTATGGCCTGGTAAGGCTGCTCCCCCTCAGAGGGAGGTGATCAAAGAGCAGGCCAATCAGTTCATGTCAGAGACAGTCCCTCTTCCATTACTATGTAACCCACTTGGAGTCTGAACTGTCATGGGCTACATCTGTGCAGGGGTTCTAGGTTATCTCCATGAATGGTCCTTGGTTGGAGTATCGTCTCAGAAAAGACCCCTGCACTCAGATTTTTTGGTTCTGTTGCTCTCTTTGTGGGGCTTCTGTCTTCTCCAGATCTTACTATTTCCCACTTCTTTCATAAGATTCCCTGCATTCTGCCTAAAGTTTGGCCATAAGTCTCAACATCTGCTTTGATAGTCTTCATGGCAGAGCCTTTCAGAGGCCCTCTTAGTCACAGATATTTTAAAGAAAGATTATTGTACAAAAAGTGGCCTTTTTGGTAAAAAAAAAAAAAAGGTTTAGGTTTACACATTTTTATTTTTAAACAAGGAGAGACCTTAATGTCGACTGCCAATTTTCATTTCCCAACTGTCACTAGAAACTAGTTTCAGCATACCGTTTATTCAATAAATGTAGCATCCTCTGAACTCAATTAATGTGGTTATTTTTAGATTACTCCAAAATAGAACCCCAAATGATTTTTATCTTAGGTCAACACGGTTCAGTGTCTGGAAGGGTTAATATAGTGCACACTAGCTGTGTTTATAATGACTTTCTAAATGATGGATGTTATTTCACAAGACTAAGGTGAAAGTGTTAATCCTAGAGTGTTGATAAATGAAAAGAATTCCAGACAGGGTTTTTCACTTTCCTGTAACATTCAGCGGCTCCATCCTACCTGTAATGGCTAATCTCTACAGTCAATCTGACTGATGTGAGGAATTTTCTTGATCAGATTATTTGAAGCATGAAGACCCACTGTAAATGTGGGTCACTTTCTAGTAAGAGCCCGGAAAAGGACATGAAAGGCAATCTGCTTTTTTGCCTGTTTGCCTTCATCTTGCTGAGAAGTAACTACTATCCTGTTGCCGCAGCATTCCTCCACTAACACTGCAACCAGCTTCTTCAGGGCTCCAACAGAATGAAGACCAGCAGCTCTCCAGGAATCTTCCAGGACTTCAGTGCCAGGCTGGGACTGCTGAGACATCCAGCTTCATAGACCAAGCAACTATCAGATTCTCTGCTTATCCACCCTCCAACAGCCATTGTTGGACTACCTGGACCATGTAAGCCAGTCTACTAAATCCTCTTTTAATAACCATTTGATCAGTTCTGTTCCTTTAGAGAACCCAATACAATACCCCAGGTAGTACAAAGTTACACCAGGCATTCACTACAATACCCCAGGATAGTACAAAGTTGTTAGGGACACTAAGCTTTTCTTAACTCTAAAAAGAAAAACTGCCCCTAAGTGCAGTTAATGGTAACCAGTATATTAAAATGCTGTTTTTGTTTGGTTGGTTGCTTGGTTGGTTTGCTGTTAAGACAGGGAATAGTTAAATATAACCTAGCCTATAACCTTCTAGCCATGAAACTAGAAGATTGGGTCTATGACAAATTGTTCATGTTTAAAGCAAAAGCCTTAACTGTGTTAACGCGCACAATGCCACATATAAATTAAATGATCAGACCACTTTTTATGTCAAAACAGAACTTCATTGTAAAAGCAGCACGTTAGTGAAATTTTATTTAGTGTTCTCCTCCTTCATCACCCTCTCCCTCAACAGAATCGACACCAGCTTCTTTATAATCCTTCTCTAGGGCAGCCAAGTCCTCACAGGCCTCAGAGAACTCCTCCTCCATGACCTCACCCACAGACCAGTTCACAAAGGCACCCTTGGCATACATCAGATAAAACTTGTGATCCAAGCAAGCCTAGGCCTCGGCAATGGTTGTGGTGTTGCTCAGCATGCACACAGCTCTCTCTGGACTTGGCAAGGTCTCCACCAAGTACCACAGTGGGAAGCTGGCAATTAAGGCCAACCTTGAAGCCAGTCGGACACCAGTCCACAAACTAGATGATATGCTTGGTCTTGATGGTGGCAATGGGAGCACTGACATCTTTGGGAACCACATCACTACCGTATAGGAGGCAGCAAGCCACCTATATTTACCATAATAAGGGTAAAATTCACCAGCTGATTAGCTGGCAAAAAGCAGGCATTGGTGATCTCTGCTACAGAAAGCTGCTCATGGTAGGCTTTCTCAGCAGAGATGACAGTGGCGCATAAGGCCAAAGGGAAGTGGACTTGAGAACAGCATGCCAGACTGATCTGAAATCTGTCAGGTCAACGATCAGAGTCCCATCAAATCTGCAGGAATCACTGATGGAAGACAAAATTTGACCTATCTGTTTAGGTTAGTGTAGGTTGGACACTCAATGTAGAGATTTCTACGATAGATATCACAGATAGCCTCACTGTCTACCACAAAGGCACAATCAGAGTGCTCCAGGGCGGTGGTGGTGAGGATGGAATTGCAGGGTTCAACCACAGCAATGGAAATCGGGGGGTGGGGGGGGGAGACTAAATGGAGAACTCCAGCTTGGATTTCTTTACATAATCAACAGAGAGCTACTCCAATCAGCAGGGAGGCAAATTCAAAGCCAGTTCCAAAACCAAACTGTGAGAATCAAGAAGCTTTGAAGACCTGTGCACTGGTCAGCCAGTCTGTACGTTTTGTCCAAGACAAGGTCAATAATCTCCTTACTAATGTGTAGTGGCCACGGGCAGTTGTTGGCAGCATCCTCCTTGCTTGTGATGAGCTGAGCTGCACAAGGTCAAAGAGCTAGCAGTAGGTACCACTGAAAACTTCACCAATACCCATGGGTTCCAGGTCTACAAACACTGCCTGGGACTCATGCTTGCCAGTGCCTGTCTCACTGAAGGTGTTGAAGGAGTCATCTCCTCCCCGGTGGTCTTGTCACTTGGCATCTGGCATTAGGCTGGATGCCATGTTCCAGGCAGTAGAGCTCCCACCAGGCACTGCCTATCGGTGCACCAGCCTAGACAATGTGTATGGAGATGCACTTACATAGTTGCTGCTTTGTGGCTCCCGAGTGGATGGGGGAGGCAAGGAGGCGGTATTGCTTCTTACTGCGCAACTCCTAAGAGGCCACTGAAAGAGGACCTGCTGTTCAGTACTGTCTGTCAGTACTGTCAGGTAGCCAAGGCAGATAGGCTGTTAACATGACTCTCAAAGGTAGCCCACCCTCACAGGCAAGCCTTCCCCGGGAGGTGTGTTCATGCTCAGTCCACCCCATTCAGGAGCACTCCACCTACCCGCTGGAGTTACATCCACATGATCTGCTGCTTCCCTATTTCTGCCTCTTGGTAACTGCATTAAACCTGAGGGGTTTTTTTTTGTTTTTTTGTTTTTTCCTTACTTGTTGAGATATTTTTCTATAGGGTTTCACATAGCTCATACTGGCCTCAACTGCACTGTGTAGCAGAGGCTAACCATGAACTCCTGATCCATTTGCCTCCACTACTCAAGTGCTGGAAGTACAGGTGTGCAACACCCAGCTCAGCCTAACCTGGACTTTTTATTTCTTATTACTTTTATTTATTCATGCTGGGGGTAGGGGTGCACGTGTCCCATGGCACTTGTGTAGAGGTCAGAAGACAACCTGTGAGAGTCTGTTCTCTCCTTCCACCATATGAGTCTCGGGGATGGAACTTAGATCATTAGGCTGTTCCATCTCTAGCCTGAGTGTTTTATGCGCTCTTCTGTTCTTCAGTGAGTGCAAAGTAGAAGCCCTCTTTCTTTTGCAAGCTTCCAGCCAGTCATTCTGGCTATGCAAACCTCACTTTCATTACTGCTGTTGTAAAGGTGACAATTCTCTCTTGGGAGCTGCAGACCTTCCTTTCAGGGTTTTCCAGCCATCCTTACCTTAAACATTGATGCTTCTACAGATAAAAAGATCATTATGCTATGGTTTCAGTAACACAAAGACCACATGCTCTCTCCCATAACAGGATCCTAGCTTCTAATTTTAATATGGGAATTCAGTATGGGAATGTTATGTT